GAATTCCCCAGTCAGCCATTCCCCATGCTGGCTGGGGAGTTCTGGGAGTTGAAGTCCACACACCTCAAAGTGGCTGAGGTTGAGAAACACTCCCTTAAGGTAAGCTTAGTGTAGCTTAGAAAATAAAGAAAAAACACACTAGACCCAGAAAATCCTGGCCTTGCTTATATGTATCATAAAGCCACCCCATTTTCACCATGACGTCACCCTCCTCATAAAATGTTAAGCTCAGTCCTGGGCCAACAAAAAGATGCCTGTTATTTATTTATTTTTGTTGCCTTTTCTTCCTCTTTTTCTCTTGTCTGACCTGTGCTGAAGTTTAGACTGCCAGCTCATCAGAGGAGAGATGGATAATCTCGAACTCAGTACAGCTCAGAATTTGGGGGGGGGAATCCCGCAAGAAAGCAACAGGAAATGACTTCCATATAGTTGCCATGGAAACCAAGTGAGGCTGAATCATGGAACTGCAGAGCTGGAAGGAACCCTAAGGGTCATCAAGTCCAACTCTCTTAAGAGAGCCTGCATCCTTTTTTAAAGCTTGTTGTGGGCAGAGGCCTGCTATATTAAATTTTCTAGGATGACAAGCATAGGCTGAAGAAGAAATAAAGAACTATATTGCTGCCTCTGCTGAAAGACCAAGGCTTTTATGCATTTATTTATTCTGAGGGCTTTTAAGCCAATCGTACGACTCTTAAGTCTGACTCTTCCCCACTTTCTTCCTCCTCTTCCTCTTCTTTGCTTCCCCTTTCCATCCTTTCTTTCCTTATGAATCATATTTCTTCAATTGTAAGTGTAAGAGCACAAATCATTCTACTGCTTACCCTATTCTGGCTGGCTAGGGAACAGGATGAAAATGCTTTAAGGACATTTTTTGGGGGGTACCTTTGAGTCGGTGTTGATGCCTGGTGACTGTTTTAAAGAAAAGGAATTAGGCATCATTGCTAGGCAATAAATGCTAATGACAACAGGATGACAATTATCTAGAGAGTGAACTGGCCCTTTTCTGATTCTAATTTTCCGCATACCTGCTGGTCCAACCACAAAGGGCCAAGATGCAAGCTGTGATGTGGACTTGAAGGAGGCCTTGGACTTGAAGGACGTCTGAAGGCCGCTTGGCCGATGTCTTCTCGCCTTCTGTTTTGCAGTTCTCCTCCTCCTCTTCCTCCTCCTCTATCAATTGCAAGAGAAAGCTGACTTTCTCTTCTGTCAAGGACTGAGAAGCAAGCACGCTACAGTCAGTATCTCAAACCCCCAAAATGGGTATCAGCATTTTCTTGGTAGATGAACATGATTTCAAGCACCTTGGACTTCTCAGAGTAAACAGGGAGATGCAAAACCTCCTGTCCCAGAAATGAAATATTCTGGAGGAATCCAGAATGTTCAGTTAGTCTTTGTATCATGCTGATCAGATGGTCTGGACATATTTTATTTCTACATTAAATTTATATAGCTGCTCATCTCACATATGTGACTCTGGACAGTGTATGCAATTAAAATTACAAAACCAAGCAATCAAAACAATTAAAAAACGAAACCTTTAAAATACGATTAAAAACAATTAAAATACTATAAATAGAACAAAAAACACAGGAGAATCAACTTATAAACAATATAACCATTTCACAGGCTCTATACTTCCATGGGATCCCCAGGCCTGATGGCAACACCAGGTTTTAAGGGCCTTCCGGAAGATCATTAGGATCAGGGCCAATCTTACCTTGGGGGGAACGATGCTCCACAGAGCAGGTACCACAGCAGAAAAGGCTTTCCTCCTAGGTCCTGCCAGATGAAGCTTCTTAGCAGACAGGACGCATAACGTGCCCTTCCTGCTGGACCTGAAGGGACAGGCAGATGCCACTGGGGAGAGGCGGTCCCTCAAATAACCTGGCCCCATGCCATGTAGGGCTTTAAAGGTCATAACCAGCACCTTGAATTGGACCCAGGAGCAGACTGGCAACCAATGCAGCTTGCAGAACAGAGGTGTGACATGTGCGATTCTAGGGGCACACATAACTGCCTGCGCCGCTACATTTTGCACCAGCTGAAGCTTCCATGGACAGCTCCATGTAGAGGACGTTACAGTAGTCTATTCGAGAGGTGACCAGGGCATGAGTGACCGAGAGTAGAGCCTCCTGATCCAGGAATGGGTGCACGTTCTCCTAGCCACGACCGCCATCTGACCCTCTAGCAGGAGTCATGAATCCAGAAGGACTCCCAGATTGTGCACAGGGCCTGTTTGGGGCAGCGCCACCCTATCTAATATCAAAGATGGTAAATTTCCAGATCCTGAGAGATTCATGTGGTCAAAGTGACAAAGAGAACATTCTGTCCCCAGGATGGCAGGTTTTGTACACACCTAACAAATCTGTCGAGGCACATGAAACAGAAGGAACAGGAACAAACAAAATTAGCAGCATTTGATGAGCTGTAATGGTCTGTGGGAATGACCTTGGGAGACAGGAGGGAGAGCCACAGACCGGGCAACTGGCATGTAAAAGGTATCTCGGCCCACAAAAGGAGGGAGGGCCTGGGAAGCGTTTCAGAAGGGCCCTCCCTAGTTTTCTGGAGAGTAAAAGGAGAGGAGAGGAGAAATACTTTCAGTCTTGCAAGGTTCTGCAAACTTACAATAAAGGTAAGAGTTAGTACTCATGGTTGTAATTCTTGTCTTGTTCACACTCACTTGCTCAACATCTACATGAAACCTCTGGGTGAGATCATCTGCTGGCTTGGGGTCCAATATCATCAGTAGGTGGATGACACCCAATTATATCTTCCGTCCTCCGCTTGGCCAAGTGAGGCCGTTGAGGTCCTGTTCCAGTGACAGGAGGTTGTGCAGCCTGGATGGGGAGGAACTGACTCCAGCTCAGTCCTACCAAGACTGAGTGGCTGTGGCTGTTGGGACCATTTAGGTCTGGGGATCTTCCATCTTCACTCCTGGATGGGATGGTGTTTCCCCACTCAGGAGCGATGTGCAACTTGGGGGTCAATTTGGACTCACAGCTCCTGCTCAAAGAGCAGGTGGCAGCTGTGGCCAAGAGGGCCTTTGCACAGCTCTAACTGGTGCATCAGCGTGACCCTTCCTGGATCAGGCGGCCCTTCAGTCACCTCTTGGCCAGATTATTGCAATGCGTTCTACATGAGGCTGCCCTTGAAGACTACCTAGAAGTTTCAACCGGTCCAGCGTGTAGCAGTGCGAGCAGTGGTAAGCTTGCCTCGGCATGCCCACATGACGCCCTGCTCTATGAGTTGCACAGGTTGCCAGTATACCTCTGGGTGTGATTCAAGGTGCTGGTTATCACCTATCAAGCCCTGCAGGGTATGGGGCCTGGTTATCTGAGTGACTGCCTGTCTCCCATAGTTTCTGCCCAGCTGATAAGAACTGACAGATTGGGGGTGCTCCAGGCTCTCTCCAGCGTCACCTTTCGGAATCCGGGAATGGGCCCTCTCTGTCGTGGGGCCTCTTTTCTGGAATGAGGCCCCCTGAGTCCTGGACAGCTCCCACCCTGATGACATTCAAGGCCTTGAAAACCTGGCTATTCTTCCAGGTCTTGAGGTAGGGTGGATGGAGGCCCCTGTTCAAGGTTGCTGTGTTGTCTGGATTGTTATCTTGCAACTATTTTGTAATTCTTTTTGGGTTAATTCTTACTGTACTCTTATTTACTTGTTTTTATGTTGTTCTTTACTTTGTGAGCAGCCCAAGGTTGGTTGGAGTCAGGTGGCATAAAACTGAGTAACTAAAGAATGAATGTATTTGTTGATAGAAAGGGCAAGACTAGGAGCGGTGGGCCAGGAAGGAGTTGATGAGATCCTCAAAACACACAGGGGAGAAGATTATGCACCTAGTGGTGGTAGAAGCATGCATGCTTTGCAAGAACAGAATGGGATGGAGAGGTAGAGTGAACGATGTTGGTATAAACAGAAGAGAATATGTGTAGCTCGGGGTTGAACTGTGGAGTCCTTGGGGTTCCCTGAGCTTGGCTGTTTTCTTGCAGACCTTTCATTACCCAACTAGGTAACATCTTCAGTGCTAGAAGGGAGTGGGGTTTGCTCTCTGTTTATATACAGTAGCTTGCCCTGCCAGTGTTGGTGGGGGTGTGAGGGTTCCCCCGCCCTTGGTAGTTCCTTGATTAGGCTGTTGTTTACTGCTTGTTTGTCTGGGTAATGAAACGTCTGCAAGAAAACAACCAAGCTCAGAGCACACCACATGTCGATATAAATAAACTAGACTGAACCATGTCTCCTTTCCTTGTCTCTTGTATCCTCCCTGTAACTTCCTTTGCTGACTATTTCTTATTCCTTGTTCAGGGTTTTGCACAATGTACCTTATCCTGAAAGGGAACAGTGTGAGGGGTATGCATTGATGTTCAGATATCTAAACCAAGATTGGACCTGGCTCATTTAACACATACACACTCTCTCTCAAGGCTGTGGGCTGCTCACCATTCCCAAATGGAAGAGTCCTTGAATGGGACGCTGGAAGCTCCCCTCCCCTCCCCTCCCCCTCCTTAGCAGGGTGACCAAGAGCTTACCATGTTTTTGAGATCATCCGGTTTCAGTGAGGGCAGCTGAAGCTGCAGCTGACACAGGTTCTGAAAGCGCTCAAGGAAGTCATTGAAAAGAGCATGAGGTTCTGCCACCAGCAGGACTGAAAAGCGATCTAGCCCAAAACAAAAGCAGGGGACTGTCATGAAAGGATGTCTGAGGCGCTGGGATGCACAAAAACGCTCCCTGGTGGCGACTACGTTTTTAATCGCCCTCCCACCTGTAAGATCATATTGTTTTGGCTCTTTCCAAATTGGTGGCCAGAGCAGGTGCCGTGGGAAATCCACATTGTTCAATTCCCCTGACCCCTACGTTTATAAATTGCACTGGCTCTGTAAGACCCTAAAATACAGGCCCATCAACGCTGCCAAATGGTGGGACTATCCACAATTCAGGGGCATCTGCAGGGGGATGGGGGGATAAAAAAGTCAGGTTAGCAGTTGGGGCCCCCTTCTTGACTTTTTTTGACCTCTCCCACAAACACCCTTGCCATAACATGAAGACACGGAGCCCAAGATGCAAATTTTTCATAGAATCAGAGAACTGGAAAGGATCTCAGAGCCTGAAAACCTCAAAAGCCTACCCACAGTCAAGGGAGCCCCTTTTTGGGATGGGGGGGCTGAACCACACTGCCAAATTTTGCTGAAAAATGGTTAGCATGATGTTCCTCATTCTTTTGGAGAACACTAAAGATACCAGAGGCAGTAAAGCTTTGTGCACCTAGAAAGAAGCCCCATTCCAAATCTAGCCCCACATCCTTGCGGGATGTTATCCTTACTGTCTTGCTCCCCCCACCCCACAATGGCTACAACTTGTTCCCCGGTTCACACACCCCCCGCCATTTAAACTGCTCTAGACTCTTCTGGGAGGAAGAGTGGCACAGAATAACAATTCCAGGAACAATAAAGGTGGCCTAATGTCTGGCTTCAGAACAAGACCGCTGCAGAGATCCTGCCGTACAAAAAATAGGGCATGTGGCTGGGATTTATGGTTCTGTTCTTCAAGGGGCATGTGGATGAGGGATGATGAGAGTTGCAGTCTAAGAGATTTGTAGAGCTGCCCTTTCTTCAGGGCCCCTTGTGAGCATCTCCCACACGCAACGGTGGGGGAGCAGTCAGCACCCACATGTTCAGGTTTGACCCCACTTTGCTGTTTCTTTCTCCTTTCTTACCTGGGCAAGGACTGTCTGGCCAGAAGCAGAACTTTTCATGAGCTGCCAGCAAAGCCTTCTGCAGCTCCTGGCACCTCTCCTTGTCTAGAAAGCAAACACGCCTGGTGAACAGCAGAACCCCGAGATGCGGAACCATTTCAAAAATCTCTGTTTCTAGGTCACACTATCCCCTGGCCCGACAATGAACAAAGCCGATATCCAAATGCATATAAGTGAAATCAAAACTCTCACTGGTGAACTAGAAAAAAATAACAAGCTGGTAGCATTCAAGGGAAAATCTGTAGTGACAGAGATTGGAGGGAGGGATCCTCCTTGGATCAGCCTTTCTGAGTTTTTAAACTGTGAATCATTCCTGAACTGGGGGGGGATCCGACCACTCTGATTTCAAGGTCATGCTATTAGCCGGTTAGCTAAGTTTAGAAAGAAAAATTGGGTGTTTAGGTGCTTCTGAAAACCAGTTGCTAGGAAACTGTCCCTTAGGCCCTCCTTGTTGGCCATATAAGGACACACGGCTGTTTACTTTGGAAAGGACTCAGGTTGGATGCAAACCCAATCAGACTGTTCAGGTCCCTCCCAAAAACAATGCACAGATGTCAGCTGCTCCTCGAGAAACGCCCCGCTCTTAGCCTGTTGAGGTGCACAGGTGGGAAAAAGAGATACACAATTTTCAACATGGGGATGGAGGCATGAACAGACATGGCTCGAGGCTTATAGCTGGCAGTTGCTTTTCTTCTGCTCTCATTATGCTTTTTTAGTATCTCTAATCCAGTGTTTCTCAACCTTAGCAACTTTAAGATATGTGGACTTCAACTCTGGGAGTTGAAGTCCACATATCTTACAGTTGCTAAGGTTGAGAAACATTGCTCTAATCAAACCAGTTTAGCAAAGAGCTGGCCCCCAAATCTCTGCCTGCTAGCCTTTGAGTGGGAGTAACAGCCTGGAGGCAAGTCCATGTGGTTTAGCTTTTGATTAAGACACCGCAGAACACAAGACTAATCCTGCTGGAAGCAAAGGTGGGAAGAACATGCGATCAAAGTGTGAAGGACTGGCTGCTTTTGTTACTATCAGTGATAGAACCGCATCCTCTAAGAGACGTTTGCGTGTAACCTCAGTTTTGGTTACACAAACCATCTGGGCGACTTTGGGCCAGTCCCTCCTCACAGCCCTAGGAAGAAGAAGGCAAGGGCCAAGCTCTTCCAAAAACAGTGCCAAGAAAACTCTAGGGACTTGTCCAGGCAGTTGCCAAGAGTCAAGACTGACATGAAGGCCCCAAAAAGCAAGAAAACAGGAAAAACGAGGGCTTGAGTCACTGTCTTCAGTGTCTCCTGATCTTGGAAAGAATACAATCAGCAGACCAGCAGAAGCTGGCGAAAAAGATCCTGGCTACAACCTCCACATGCTGCTCTAGCAGAGTTTAAGTCCAGGAGAAGCCCCAGGCTGGGTACTGGCTCCTTCAGGAGAGGGCAGTCTCACTGAGAGTAATAGATATAATTTCCATGGAAACAGAGGGTTTCTGCACAAATGGAACTTGGTCTGTTTGTTCCCACCCAGACCCTTGCAGCCTTCAAACACCAGCTCAGGATTTCCACCTAATGGGGGAGATGGCCAAGCCCTGGAGGACCCCAGGCCGGACTGCCCAAGGGCCTGGCCCCTCTTCCCCCAACAATGCCAACCGGAATTGTCCACTTAGGAAGGAGCAAAATCACTGCCGAAGAGGGCTCCCACCCTCAATCCTTGTGGACAGACTCAAGATACCATAGTCAATTGTATCAAATGCAGTTGAGATATCTAACAGGATCAAGAAGGATGCATCAACTTGAACCCTATCGAGATCCTGCCACAAGATACCTACAAAAGCAATTAATCTGGTTCCTGTCCCATGCCTGAACCCAAACTGGAAAAGATCCAGATAATCTGTCTCATCCAGGATCCTCTGGGGTTGGAGCCCAATAATCTTCTCTACAACTTTACCCAAAATAGGTAGAGACCAGGAAATATCTGCCTAGGATGGCAGGGTTGATAGATTCTTGAGGAGAAGAATCTCCTACCACCACCTTTCAAGGCTGGCAGCAACAGTCTTTCCATCAAAGACATGTTCACCACCTCCTGAACCCATGCTGTTGTGTCTTCTCTGGCCACATGTATCAGCCAGGAGAGATGTGGATCTAATTTAAGGGCGGCTGAGGTTATTTCATGCAGGACCCTGTCCACATACAGTTCCAAGGGAATCCCAGGGAGTCTCCTGGGACATTACCTCTGTCATCTCAGGCAACCCTGCCCACCTGGCATCCAACTCAGAGCAAATGTGAGCCATTTTGCCCTCAACGTGCCTGGCAAAGTACCCATACCCAGCAGATCTTCCAGGTCCATGCTATCCCATATGGAACACACCACCCTAAATAATGTTGCTGTCCAGCATTCCAGATGGAGTAAGGGCAGAGAAGCAACAACACTTTGCTGCCCTTACCACCATGGTGTAGGCCCAAACTTGGGCTCATACCATCTCTGGGATTGTCTTTGATCCAGCATTGCTCCAGGCATCTTCTCAGATGTTTCACTTCTTGGAGCTTCTTGGTAAATCAGAACACACACACACACCCCAGATTGGCACACTGGGAGTGGCTGCTTGGGAGCAATCCCATCAAGTGCCTCTGACATCTCCATATTCCAGAGCTGAATTAGGCACCCCACAAAACTACCTGCTCAGTCCCTGGGAAATTGCCCAAGCGCCTGCTGGAAACCAACTGGATCCATAAGGTGGACTAACTTAATGGGTTGGCTCTGAAACTTAATATCTGACCATTCAGGGCTGCCCCAACCTCCTTCTGATTTCTCTGGGCACTGCCCATACAGATTCCAGCCTACCCTTTCCTCTGTTAGGGCTAAACTCTGTTGTTGCTGTTTTTCAAAGGAAAATGGAGGTTCTCAGGACATTCTGATCTCTACCCAAACACCGTGTCTGTGTAGTACCAATCACGAGGTGGTGCAATACACCTCGTACTGTTTCCATTTGCCTTCCAGATTTAACCGTCTGGGCACCAATAGGCTCTTACATTTGCTAAAGTCAAAAGCCAACTGCAGACTGGCACAGAGGTAGGCCTGGCAGCTGGCGCATTTCAACATATCACATTCAACGTTGGTCCATCCGTACTTGGCACAGATCAAGGGAGACAATTCATGGGGTTTGCCTGCCCATTTGAGAGAGTGTTTGTATTAAGGAAAGCAACTCAAGTTTTCTTGGGTTCAAGAAAGTCTGGCCTTCCTAAAAACTTCCACAGACTAGCATGAAACTTCACCCAACTCTCACTGCTAGCTACTGGATCTCTCAATACGTGAACAGCTCTTAGCTTGGACTTCTGACTGGAAGGGGGTTATTGTAGGCTTCACCTGTGGAGTCAACCACAGTTTCACTGAAATCAGCTTCAGTTCTGGTTCCTGTCCACCCCTTCCTATTTTAATTCTGACATCCATTCAAATGCCCAGGCCACAAGTGGACATCCTGTGACTCAAGTCATATATTTTCGTGGCTCCCCCAACATCTCCAGATTGCTCCCCCAACCCCAAAACAGAAGAGGAAGTGGAGGCCCAATTTGAAAAAATCAACCCGTTCCTGACTTGACACACTTAGGCTCAATAGAAGTCAAACGGGCTTGTCACCATCTAACAGCTCCACTCCCCCCCCCCCATGGCTCTTTAATCATTTCTAGGGCTGACAAGACTTTTCCATGTGAATTTGGAGAAACTGCCATTTTCCATTTGCAAGAAATAGAAACTGAAAACAGTCTGTAGCTTTCAAAATCCAGACCTGCAAACTGAATATAGGCCAGCCACTCCAGGACTGCAGAAATATGAGACCTAAGATGAACCTCAGGCCCGTCTATGAGGCCATGTTTAGGACAGTAAGACAACAGCATCAATAGCCCTGTTAACATACTGTTCAGCCACAGCATGTCATGGGAACACAGCCCTACTCTTGCAGTTGGCTTACAGGACATGCTCAATTTTGTGAAGACCAGAGAAACCCCACACAGCTAACTTCCAAATTCCAAAATGGAAAAACTCCCAGCTGGTTGGCATGGCTCAGAAACACTCTTCATTTTGTTTCCACTGTGCACTCCCCCAAAGGATGAAGCAGTCTCAGAACTGGGCACAAAAGGATATGGTGAATGTTTCCACTCTACTGAAGAAAGCTTCTTTGCTGGTGGCTTCAAAATGCAGCTCATTGGTCTGGGGGGAGCCATTGGCTACTTCATATAAGGCAGATGAATCCTTTCTGAAATGCAAGTGAAAGGCCTCAAAGAATAAGTTTCTATTCACAATGGTGACAAGGAGTGATTTCTCTTCTTCCTACTAACCCCCATTCAGGCCCCAAAAAGTGTATAAAACCAACCTGTGGTATAGGAATACACTGATGTAATCCTTGAATTGGCTGCGGCCTTTAAGGCCATTCAGTCTAACCCCCTGCTCAGTGCAAAATCTGAATGAAAACTTCCCAAACAAAACCCTGCTCAGCCGCCACTTGAACACTGGCTCCACTCTTCCACTGCTCTTCTTAAAAATGATAACAACTAGTATTGGTAGCATTGCAAAGATAATATACTACAGATGTGGAGCACTACATTTAAAGCCAAAGAGGTACACAAGCAGACCTGCTGTTGTGTGGTGTTAAGGTGTGGGTTGTGGAGTGGAGTGGAGAGATCTAGGGTCAAGTCCACACTCATTCCTGAAAGCTCACTGGATGACCCTGGACCAGTCATCACTCTCAGCCCAATCCACTCACGGTTTGTTCTTTTTTGCTGTGGGGAAAAATGGGAGGAGGCGGCTCTTTGTACACTCTTGGAGAAATGTGGGATATAAATCTAACAAAGAAATACTGCACCTTTTCCAGGATCATCCAACTACCCTCTGCTGCTGCTATATGATCCCAGGAAAGCATGATTTTGCTTTAAGGAATTGTAGATAGGTACCATGTGCACTCTGAAGCAACCTTTTGCCTTTGCAGGTGTATCCATAATGTTGCAAGATGCTATCTGCATAATTAGCCACAGACCATGTGGAAAAACAATGGCTACTTTAGGCACAGAAAACAACTACTTTTTCAATTCCTTTTTGGTTGGGATTTAGAAATAAGACAGCCAGGTTCACATGGTTCCTCAAGTCCGCAAAAAAGACCAAGAAGCTATATTTGCACACACTGGTGTGAGTTTTGTTTTGTGGCTTAATGTATAATGTGAAGCCAGGTCATTTACTAATGTTAAGATACCAGATCTGGCAGCAAAGAGGAGTCCTGCCCCTTACTAACACACAGGTCAATATACAACCCCCACAAGAATGAATTAGCTCTGTTAAGCATGTTGGGCGACCTCAGCCTGGGCTACACCAGGAGATCCTCCGATCTCTGGATGCTTTTCAGTTCTCCCAGACTTACATGTTCCCTCTATGCTCCTTATGAAACATTCCTATTTATTTATTTTATTTATTTAAATAATTTATATGGCTGCCCATCTGACCTCCATGACTCTGGGTGGTGTACAAAGATGATGATGATGATATTTTTATCCCACCTTTTTTATGCATACAACTCGAGATGGCGAATGTACATAATCCTCCTTCCTCCTCCTATTTTCCCCACAACAGCCACCCAGTGAGGTGCGTTGGGCTGAGAGAGAGGGGCTGGCCCCAAGTCACCCAGCCGGCTTTCATGCCTAAGGGGGCCCGCAGCTCACGGCCTCCTGGTCTCTAGCCCAGCGCCTTCCCCGCTGGCCCAGAGCGGCCCTCTC